TGACAATATGACGACATGTTGACGCCCTGTGCCTGCAGGGAATGTAAACTGACCCAGCAGAGGCTTGAACCAGCAACCGTCTTGCTGTGAGGCGACAGTGCTATCCACCGCACTACCGCACTGCCCCAGACTCAACCCAGTCCTGAGAAACACCTATACACTCTCTCATTCACACACACTCATGCACTATAAGGCCAATATTGTTTACCTATTTCACTTAAAGAGCTTGTCTTTGGACTGTGGGGGAAACCGGAGCAATCAAACATGGGGAGAACATGCAAACTCCACACAGAAATTCCTACTAGCTCAGTTGGGACTCGAACCAGTTACCTTCTTGCTGTGAGGCGACAGTGCTAACCACTTAGACACCGTGCCGCACCTTATAGTATGTTTGGTTTTTTTAAATAAATGGATTAAGCATTCATCTAAGGCTATGATTTTAGTTATATTTCAAATAGTTTTATTCATTACAATAAATTATGTATACTTAAATTTGTGTGTAATAAATTATGTATAATTTATTCTGATGAATAATGAACATGCTTGAAATATAGGTTAACCTATAGGTTAAAATCTTTTTTTTTATTGTCATTCATCATAGCTTATTGGCTAATTAATGTTTATTAATTAATATAATCTAGTTTAAATATTTAGTAGCTTAACTATCTGCTTCTTTAATTATTATCTGCTCAAAGACAAAACACGCTTTTCAGAAGAATAAATATGCAATAGTGTTATTTTTTCTAATATTGTATGTAATATTTTCATATTTTATTTATACCTCAATATCCTTCAAATCAATGTACACACACACACACACACACACACACACACACACACACACACACACACACACACACACACACACACACACACACATATATATATATATATATATATATATATATATATATATATATATATATATATATTATATAATTTTTTTTTTTTTTTTTTTTACAAATATGTGACAGTGGATCATTATTTGGTCACACTTTATTTTGATGGCCCGTTTGTTGAATTTAAGTTACATTGCATCTACATGCCAACTAATACTAATTAGATTATAAGTTGACTGTTAGGTTGGGGTTAGGGTTAGTGTAAGTTGACATGTACTTGCAAAGTTTCTTATAGTCAGTAAATGTCTGTTGAAGGAGCAGTATCAGCAGATATTAAGCAGACAGTCTACTAACATTTAAATGGACCATCAAAAAAAAAGTGTTTCCCATTATTTCACCAATATTGTTGTCTGACTCGACTCAAATCTTTAAATATTGAGTTCTGTATTCAATATTTGTGCATTTACGTGCATTTAACATCAACAAAAAAGCTTTGCACAGCTGTCAGTAGCCACTTGTGCACCTTTCAAGTTTTCTTGTTTGCTTATAATATATCTGTCAAGTTGATTTCACCTGCGCGTTGGCTTGTCATGTTATCCTACATTTATAGTGAAGCCCACTGGTGAAGGTGCCCTGACCTCCTGCTAACCCTTCCAATATCAGCCTGCCAGGCACAAAACGGGACACCTTATAAATTGTACAGCTATTTGTTTTGTCCATGCATGGAAACCAATGGTTCAGGATAGAAGTCATTGGCATTCCCTATGTGTGTGTGTATGTGTGTGGTTTGTTTTTGGACCGGACATCTTCACATTCAAAAGAAGCACATTAGGGGGCCGTTGAGGGGTCCTTCACTCAAGTGAACTAATCTTAAATGAGAGTCCAATCAGGAGGTAGCCATCCCTGATGCCTGATGGCTTAATTACCTGTTTCTGTAATACTGATCATGCTTAAATATTTATAAGGGGGAAATCTTTTGTTTAGACTTGACCTTTCTCTGGGGCTCATTAGCATCTGCTTATTAGCTTGTTTTTTCCTTTCTTTCATAGCCCTTGGGCTGTTATTGATTTTGATTACAAAAGTGACGGCGAGTGCTACGAATGCAGGTTAACTCAAGAACGACATGACATTTGCTTATCTATGTTCATTGCTTGAGAGCGGGACGTTTGGGACACGTTTGGGACACGTTTGCACACGTGGATGTGTTCAAGGGGGTTGAGGTGGGTGGGTAATAGTTATTTTATTTCTCAGTCCGAGGAGACCGGCCGAATCTTATCTTCGGCGAACACCATTGTCTTCAATCGACCGCGAATAAAGCAGATTCATATCCACCCATGTTTGTGTGTACAAGAACGGCGGCTTTTTGTGTGCTCAGCGCTTTGACTGAATGGGATGATTGGATTTCGCTGTTCCGTGTGAATTACCATCTAACACGCCCCCAATATTGCAACGCTCCCCCACAAAACTCTCTTCCCTCAGGCCATCCCGATGCCCTCAATCACAAAAACAGAAAAGGTCTTTCATGTAAAAATGGAGTGGATAGCATTCCCTCAGGCGAAACTGAAAGGCAGAGACGCTTTTCTCTTTCTCTCTCACCTCTAGAGCGTTAATGTTTTCTCCGTGAGCCGTGTGTCAGTGCTCTGGTCTCAAGTGTTTCTCGGGAAAACATCCAGTGCAGCTTTAGAAGTGCAAAACTCAAACCACAATCCACACACTATGCAAATGCGCACGCTTTAAATCATTGAAAATTCTCCGACAAGTCTGTAATGTTGAGTAGTTTCGCGATTTGTTTGCTAAGTGCTGAGTTTTGTAGTACTAGCCTGTCCTGTGTTGTTTGTATTGTACTTTTAGGGCTGTAACTACCATAGACGTTGAGAGGGAAAGCCCCCTACCTTCTCAATGATTACAAATCCTTCCTCTTCCCCCAAATTTTTCAGCTGGTCAGCCTCAACAGTCTGACAATGTCAAATCAATGTCAAAGTAACTGAGATGCCTAATCAAAAAGTAGGCGAAATTGAGTGGTCATAGAAATAAAGGACAAGACTAAATAGCATGCATTCATTCCTTTTCCTTCAGCTTAGTCCCTGATTCATTAGGCCACAGTGGAATGAACCACCAACTACTCTGGTACTCTGGTATATGTTGTATGCAGCGGATGCCCTTCCAGCCGCAACCCAGCACCGTGCTGGAAAAAAATAGCAAAACATTTAAATAGAAAAGTTTACTTAAACTAAACTGATCCCAAGACTTTGAGACAAGACTAAGTCCAAGGCAAGGTGACCCTTCTGAATAGAGTTCCACCTGTGATACAGAAAATATGGTATTGATTGCATGATTCATGTAATCTGCTGCCTTCTGCCTCATCTGGTTTTGATGCCACAAGACTTTATTATAAGAGATAATTAAATCTAGAGGCTCTGCAGAGTATTTCTCAAATCTGTCTTTACGTGCATTTAAATGCAGATTTCCATATGCTCTAGTGCCCAAGGTGGGGAAAATGCATATCATACGGGCCATTTCATAATCGCCAAGGACCAACAAGCAGATGCCAACTTGTCTCGAAAGTTTACTTTGGTTTTCATTTTCAGAGTCCTGAAACTAACTTTGGTTTATTTTGTTTCAATCACCGCAGTTCATTCTTCAATGTTATTTATAGCTTGCAGTAGTTAAATATTAAATAGGGGTGTCAAAATGAATTGTTTCTTTGGTGCTCCGCCATGCAGACAGTTCGATATCAAGTCAGTAATAATCAACCTGTTGTTACGTACTAATACTATGGCGAAGGAGGCGAGGACGAGTGAATGAAACGCTCCAACTACTTAAAAGTAGATAATTGTGTTGGCGCGAATAGCCTACTGGTAAAGTGCGCCGACATACAGTATAGCACTAAGGTGCTCACGGCGACCCGAGTTCTATTTTTGGCTCGAGGTTCTTGCCGATCCTTCCCTCCTCTCTCAGCTTCCCATGTATTCCTGTCTCAACTCCACTGTCCTGTACAATAAAGGTGAAAAAGAGGTAGATAAGTGTGCACAATTCACTGCTTGTGAGTTTGCTGGACAGTCCTTTGTTGACACTAAAGGAGGGACAGCACACGAGCTGCTATTTCACTATTAGGGAGAAAATAAAAAGCTGTAAAACTTTACATCTCCTCTCGGCTGTTAAAGTTCGCTAAAATGAAAAATAAAAATAAATAAAGGTTTTTTTTTAATTACACAAACAAAATAACATGAACAAAATAATGAGTTTAGCAACATTACATTAATATTCAATTGCCTTGATATTAGTGGTGTGATACACTAGTCTCACGATTTAATTCGGTCACAATTATCTTGCCAACAATTCGGTTCAATTTGATATCTTGGTGCATCACGGTGCATTGCTTGCTTTTTGAGTGCTGCTGAGCGTGTTCTTACACTCTTAAAATTGGTCATTTTCACTGTAATGCAAGACACTGTAGTTTGAGTTTTCTTCACTGCGTCTATTATGTATTATGCACATATAGACTGTAAGTGCAGCTGTTCCTTACACTCATCGGTGAACAGAGCTGACAGTTTTAGAGCCAATCACAGCTTGTTGAGCGGGTGAAAACAATGACCAAGAGTGTAAGAACACGCTCGACAGTGCTCAAAAAGCAAGCAGGAAAATCATTACAATTTTATTAACACTAGAACAAAAATCTAATTGTGGATGGAAAGCATCGAGATATCAAATTGATGGCATGATAATCGGAACCGGATCGAACCGTGAGACTAGTGTAGGTCACACCTCTAATATCAAGGCATTTGAATATCAATGTAATGTTGTTAAACTCATTGTTTTGTTCACGTTATTTTGTAGCAGGCACTTTTTTTTACTTTTCCACTGGCCAACCAAGGCGTCACTGTGGCGCAGAGGGTTGCACGATCGCCTCACAGCAAGAAGGGTGCTGGTTTGAGCCACGCCTGGGTGGTATGCCATTTCTGTATGAAGTCTGTATGCTCTCCCAGTGTTCATGTGGGTTTTCCCACTGGGTGCTCCAGTTCCCCCACAAGTCCAAAGACATGTGCTATAGGTGAATTGGGTAATTGTCCGTAGTGTATGTGTGTGAATGAGTGTGTATGTATGTTTCCCAGTGATGGGTTGCAGGGCATCTGCTGCGTAAAACATATGCTGGATAAGCTGGCGGTTCATTTCGCTGTGGCAACCCAAGATTAATAAAGGGGCTAAGCCAAAAAGAAAATGAACGAATGGCCAAGCAAACTGATAACATACCAGTAATCTCCTAATAAAGTTAGGTTCCAGTTTCTGACATATAAAGATCCCATTCACCTTCTCTCTGCGTCATGTACTGTCATCTTTCTACTGTTTCTTAAAATATAACCCCCTAAAATAGCATTTAAAACATGGATGTTGGTGTGAGTCACTTGTTAGTCATGGGCACTCATCATAACCCTGTCTTCGGCTCGAAGTTTTTACCCTCTAACCAGCTCAGCTCGGTCACAAACAACCCAGTGCACTGTGCAAACAAATATCTCAATCTAAGCCACAACCACCCCATCAGTACATTGACAAATCAAGCCAATAAATACTGGCAGCTGAAGTCTGACATAAAATCTGCTGAAACCCAGGGGGAATCCAGTGGTGGAGGTTATAGATGGATGTTGTGCTTAGTTACAGAACAATTTCAGAAAGCCCTGGCCCTCTTCGTAACCTCTAGTGAAGTGTGTGTGTTTCTACTCTTAATGAGACTCTGTGGCCCAAGGACTGCCATTACTACATGCTAAAGTGTGACGTATATCACGAGCCACAGGCCATCAGTACACACACCGTCACACACAGATAATAGACAGCCATTTTGTACACCAAATAATTCCAATTCTGTTCACTACAGGCACATTTCAGGTCCAGAGATCATTGCGGCAGAGGCAGAGCGTGGCTGAATGACTGACTGGCGGCCGTCATTATCAGACATGTTTGGTCGGACATGCGAGTCCAGACTGAAGGAGGAGGTGAGAAGGGCCCATGTTCAGTGAGCGTGTAATGAAGCCGGGTTTGGATCAGGGTCACTGACTCGAGTGCCATTTATTTCTGAGAGGAGGCTAGTCTGCTGTGCGCTTTAAATTACGGCGGACGGGCTTGGCAAAACCTGGATTACTTCGTGTGGAGTGAGCAGACGGTAATATACTTGTGAGTAGTTGACATGAAATTTTTAAGCAAGGGAGAGCGAAGTCCTGCAATGTGACATGTTAAACTGTAGGATTTTAAACAGGAGTGTGTTAAAAAAAAGAGGAAAAAAATAATGTTTTGATCAGATTTGTGCCAAATTTCATTAACTTTTGTAGAACCAGTTGCAATTTAGTTTGAATTTGCACATATTTAAGTACTTATTTTACATATTTACTAATTGAATATCAATATATTTTATGATTTTTTTAATGATCCAATTTAAATAAACCGTATAAAAAAACAGCTGTAGACATTCTGACATTCTGATTCTGATTTTTTTTTTTTTGTAAACCAACAATTTAAATTATTACATATAAATAATTATTTAAAACAGTCATTCTTAACAGTCTTTATTTAAAACAGTCAAAGCATGGTCAACCGTTTGGAAGAGCAGCAATTAAAGAGATATAAAAATTACATTACATTACATTACATTACAGTCATGTTTTTTTGTATATGCTGTCGTGCATTGATTAGCTTCAGAATTATTTGATAAGTAGAACTTACAATATTTATTAATTTACATAAATGAGTATGTTATTTAGCATGTTGCACTTGCTGCTATTGCACTGCTGGTTAGACCTAAACTGCATTTCATTTCGTTGCATTGTACTTGTACATGTGTAATGACAATAAAGTTGAATTTAATCTAATCTAAAAAAAATTTTTGTAGCATATTTCGTTTGTTGCTAGTGTTGTTAACCATAGATATTAACAAATAGCCCCAGATATTTGAGTGGTATTGTAGATTTCAACCAAAAAAAAAAAGAGTTCATCTTTTCCATCCATTTGTGATCATGCTCCACAGTGCACTGTGACTCACTGTCTGTGTGTATGCCTGTTAATAATTGTAATTTGTCTCTTCACAGGCCCTCGCTGTCCCTGTGTTTCCAGCCTTCAGTACAGAAGCAGTCATCCATAAACCACATCGTCTAGATCTTTATTTATTTTGCCACCAATCGACTCCGAGCAGCCTGCCGGACAGCTGCAGCAAGTGAAGTCACTTTACGCTCATTAGCATGGACAAGAGATGAGACCCTAGACACACACACACACACACACACACACACACACACACAAAACACACACAAATTTCCCTCCTTGCGTCTCAGTATGAGAGTGTTGTGCTCTAAAAACTGCTCTCCAGATTTCAGTTGATGTTCATATGTATGCATATATATTTATGCTCTGGTATTTTTAAGTGTGTTTGAATGCTCAGGAGGGAGCAAGCAAAATGAACACACTTTCACATGAAAATTAAGGAGGCATTTGAACACATAGTAGAGAGTAGAACAGATGGTATGTGGTTGGATAACTACTTTAAGCTTTTTTTATAATTGCAAAATCATTTATTCATACAAAAAACACATGAACGTACCATAAAATGTGCATCACAAATAGTATTGTCAGTACTTTGGTGTATAGCAAAGTAACAAATGACTACTGTTATGATTCACCATGGTATGTAGCCAGATAGTTAAAGTTTTTGGGAGGTATTTTGAGTTGGATTCAAAGCAGAAGAACCTGCTTATGCACACAACTTTTAATTTTAAGCCAGGCAGCCCAAGGACTTCCGGTGAACTGTCTTTCCATTACAAAATTGTCACGTTTAAGATCTGATTTCTGTAAAAATCAGCAGTCTTCACTCCCTGTTAGATATACGACATGAAGTGGGTCTCAGATCTGACAAGAAGCACTGCACTAAACTCCATTTTTCCCCGTCATGTCTTTAAAATATGACCGTTTATTTTACCCAGTATTTTCAATGGAATTTCTGCACTTACCTGTTGCTACTGGCGCTAGTGGTTACAATGATCTTTCATCTTGTTTAATGCTTGAACAACTAAATGATTGCTTGAGTCTATTTAACTGAATGTATTTTAATTTCATTACAATGTCAATGCTGTAAAAACAACCTTGTTTAATTGAAAATAGTCACATTAAGCTTTCTCCGGAAGTTTAGCGTTGGCTTTAAAACTCTAGCTGTGCATAGAGCCCATTGCTTAAAGGAATAAACATATAGATAGCATGTTTCTAACATTTTTACCGTGGTTAAAATGTGTCAACACATCGATGGCATGAATTATTACGATCCTAACATGGCTAGCAGATTGCTACCATAATTTAAGATGTTGCTAGCATGTTTAACATTTTAACATCTAGAACCGAGTGTCATTTTTATTATGTTTAACAGATATTCTAGTGTATATTGTTAACATTGTTTACATTTACTAACATGTTTAACATTTTGTTAACATGAACTTGTATGTTGATTGAATGTTTATCATGTTAGCACATTGACAGCATAAGTTAGCAGGCTGCTAACATTTTAACTTATGGCTAAAATGCTCTTTCATATTTTTAGCAATGCTTTACGACATTGCTAGCATTAAATAAGCATGTTCCTGACATAATTTGGCATGTTAACGTTTTTGGGTAGCCTTGATAGCCAGTTTAGCTGTTCTAAAGCTGTAAATTGAGAGGCGTTTAGAAATTTGGTGTTCAAACTTGATTGAGGGTTGTGGGCCGAAGTAAAGTATACCATACCGTATTACATTAAACTTGCCATGGGTAATTTTTAGTTTATTTGCGTAATATTTAAAAATAACTAAAAAACATTGTTTTAAAACATGTTAAATAATTATGCAGTTTTGTTTTTTATGTTTAATAATGAACTTATTATACTTAAAACATAAACAATCCCATTTATAACACAATGGAGTTCAGTGCTGAATACACTAGCCGAGGTGCTCCTGTCAAGTGACAGTATTTACATTTTAAAAGTCTGATTCATTTACAACATTTAAATAAAACGTTTAATTTTAGTTGGCTTTTGTGTAGCTCCGACATTCAAATGGCGATCTCTGTAAAAGGCCTTCACCTCAACCAACTCTCCATCATTTTCACTCTCTTCAGATTTTTTCAATGTTGGCCCGCAGCCCCTACTTTGGCCACCTCTAGTACACAAGCAAACCTTTGTGCTTTTAAGGCCTGTTTATACCAAGACGGATATCTATAATGATAAAGATGTAGCTTTAAAGAGCATAAACTTATAAAGCAACGGACAACAAAACTGCAGCGTACACATTAAACAATATTGTGCACTGGTGTAAATGCTAATATAGCTATCTTTACCGTTACTTCTGTAAACAAGCATTTATAGTATGTTTACAAGAATATAGAGACATATATTCCAGAGACTGCTTGCTAGAGCAGAAAAGAGCGGAAAACAGGATTATGCCACCTTTTCATGGAAATGCTATTTTAAATATAAAAGCTTATCCTCACAGTGAGTGCAGGAAATAAAAGAAAAACCCCGAAAGGAGCGATGAGGTGAGCACGGGTATGAAAGCAATAAAAAGCGAGAGATGGTTAGAGGATAAAAGGGAATTGCGGGGTGGAAAAGAGCGATACGAGAGGCTTGTGGAGTGGAGGGGAGAGATGCAGGGCTGCGTGTTAGTTCCTCTTCATTTGCTCTCTGTATGTGGCGTAGAGGTCAGGCTGAGAGCTGGGACTCGGGCCATGAAGGGGAGAGCAAAGACAGCCTTAGGCAGGAATACATGCACACACACTCACCCCTACACACTCAAGTTCTGTATATATTTCTTTATGAGAAAAAACAAAAACAATATACACTCCAATTCTTTCTTTTCACTTTGATTAGTCGTGGTTATAACACATCGATCAAATTGATACTTCAATCAATGGTATGTTATTGATAAAGAAATGTCTTTAAATAGTAGTTTGAAGTTCTTAGGCGTACTCTGTGTTTAGGTTTTGAAGATTTTTAAACCTATTTTCTGACTATATAAGCAATACTTATGAGCATATATATGTATAATATAATATAATATAATATAATATAATATAATATAATATAATATAATATAATATAATATAATATAATATAATAATTTGTGTGTGGAGTTTGCATGTTCTCTCCGTGTTGGCGTGGGTTTCCTCTGGGTGCTCCAGTTCCCCCACAGTCCAAAGACATGCGCTATAGGGGAATTGAATACACTGAATTGGCCGTAGTGTATATGTGTGAATGAGTGTGTTTGGATGTTTTTCAGTTCTGGGTTGCAGCTGGAAGGGTATACGCTGTATAAAACAAATGCTGGATAAGTTGGAGGTTCATTCCGCTGTGGTGACCCCAGATGAATAATGAGACAAAGCTGAAGAAAAATGAACGAATAATATAATATAATTTAATATGTTTTGTGGCGTTATATATTTTTTACCTGGTAACTTTTTTTAAACAAATTAAAAAAAAAAAACTATTGAATGATAAAAAAAGTAAAATAAAATAGGTATATGATATTAATTGATATTGAATGTTTAGCTAGAGGCCTTTGAACTATATAGTGTTAATTAAACAGCATAGTTAAATTAAACAGTTAGTCTCAAGGTGCACATCAGAAATGTCTTTTTTTCCTAAGTAATTGTTAATAAAAGTTGCCTACACTCTCAGAAATAAAGGTACGCAAGCTGTCACTGGGGTGGTACCTTTCCAAAAGGTACATATTTGTACTTAAAGGGTCCATAATGGTACCTCAAAAGTATATTTTAGTACCACTTTTGTACTTTTTAGGTTCCAATATGTACCCTTGAGGTATTAATATGGTAATTATTATTATTAAGGTACAAATTTGTACCTTTTTAAAAAGGTACCACCCCAGTGACAGTTGCCATACCTTTATTTCTGACAGTGTACATACCCTAATTTACCTACCCTAATTTTGTGTTAACACAAATTAAATTTGTACGTATTTAAAAGGAGATTTTTGGTCCATATCTGACCCAGTGCTGGGTTAAGATATTTTTAGAGTGTGAAGATTTCTGTACTTTATTCATTTTTAAAGAAAGTTAAATATTTAAAAAGTAAAAGAAAGTTAAAGTTAAAGATTTGCAAATGTTTTTTTTTTTTTTAGATATTGAAACACTATGAATGCATACGAGGTAACACGGTTGCTCAGTGGTTAGCACTTGTGGCGCCTCACAGCAAGAAGGTCACTGATACGAGTCTCGACTGTGCCAGTTGGGAATTATGTGTGGAGTTTGCATGGTGTGGGTTTCCTCCAGGTGCTCAAGTTTTCCCACACAGTCCAAAGACATATGCTATAGATGAATTGGGTGAACTAAATTGGCCTTAAGGTGACGCAGTGGCACAGTAGGTAGTGCTGTTGCCTCACAGCAAGAAGGTCGCTGGTTCGAGCCTCGGCTGGGTTAGTTGGCGTTTCTATGTGGGAGAATTGGTTTGCATATTCTCCCTGCGTTCGCGTGGGTTTCCTCTGGGTGCTCCGGTTTCCCCCACAGTCCAAAGACATGCGGTACAGGTGAATTGGGTAGACTAAATTGTCCCTAGTGTATGACTGTGTATGGATGTTTCCCAGGGATCGTTTGCAGCTTTAAGGGCATCTGCTGCGTAAAAACGTGCTGGATAAGTTGGCGGTTCATTCCACTTTGGCAAACACGGATTATTAAAGGGACTATGCCGACAAGAAAATGAGTGTGTGTACTGGGTTGCAACTCGAAGGGTATCCGCTGCGTAAAACATATGCCGGGATAGTTGGCGGTTCATTCTTCTGTGGCAACCTCTGAAATATAGCGATTAAGCCAAAGCAAAATGAATGAATGAATAAATTAATACATACAGTGTACTGGAATTTCTATTGCTAAAAAGCTGTGTGTGTGAGAGAGGCATAAATTGTAGTATTATATAGCATGACCCTGGAATTTCATAATGTAGTGATGTCAGGCAGACCTGATGGATAAAATATAGAGGCTGTGTTCAGACATGGGTGACACTGACGCCTCATTTCAATCTTCCAAACACGCAGTGGCCCAAGATTCCTCCATCAAGTGAGTTCTGTTTACCTTCACCTCAGTAATCATAGGATATAATCAGCAGATGGAGCGAGAGGGGCCGTGCTGTTTCCATTTCCGAAATCAAATATGTGCTCATCACAAAAAAAAAGGATGAAAAGAAGAAAAAAAAAGCCATCAGAGGAATCCATCAGATCAGCAGAATAAATCTAATTTCCCTACAAATACATCTGTAATATTTCAAATCCACGGCCTGGGTTAATCTAACGCTTCATTTACATTCAAATAAAGCAAAAGTCGTGTCTTATCAATAATAAGAAGCCGGCGGAAAAATAAATGAAGTTTTAAGGCGGCGGAGGAGAGAAAATGCAGGATTTTCTTGTGTGTTCTATTCTGAAAAAGTCAATAAAATATAAAGAGACTCGATTATTCTATTAAGCTGAAACATTGCATCATCGCCGAGCGTTACTGAGTCAACAGAGATCTTCGAATGTGTTTGATGAAGTTTGGTTTAGACAGAGCATACTTGATAAGCAGGACCTTGCCGGAGGTGTCTGTTTTACAAATGAGTGAGAGTAGAAGGGAAAAGGATGTCTCTAGATGTCTCTGGTCTTTAGTATCATGCGGTGGACTGGGCTGTTAAACACACAATACAGACTTAAAAGATCATTGTGTCATTGTGGAAGTGATCAGACTATTTGCATGGTGGTTTAAAAAAAATATTTTTTTCCAGAGTTACTCTGGGGCTGTTCAGTGCTTTAAATGAGATGTTGAAATTGGCATACTTCCTGAACAATTTTTGAGATCATATTTGCCTTTGCAACATTTTGTGAGTGAAATCTAACCATTTCATTTAAAATGGTTAGATATCACAGTCCGTTTAATTTGGTTGTGCAGATTTTTAGTAGAGATTTACAGTTTTGACTATCCAGTCATTAAATAGGAATCACAGAGGTGCAAAATAACTTACACACTCAGAAGTAAAGCCTTATCAACCTGCAACCCATGACCAGTTACTCACTGAAGCTAAGCAGAGCT